CGGACTAGTACGCGGACCTTAAATATTGAGAGCGCAAACTAATCATTTTTAATGGGCCAGTAAATTGAGATTAATTGTTGCCCAACCTAATAGTTAGGATCAAATGCCATCTATGGCAGGAGCTACTTCACAAATTCAAGTTGATTATAATGGTAAGATTTTCTGTCCGCTCATTTAAATGATAAATATTCGTCGCCAATGKTATAGACATGTTACGATAATAATATACAAAAAACATGTGTCGTATCTACTATCATTTATATTATATTATGTATACTATAATCAGTAATAACAGCATAATTGTTTTTTTGTCTCTTGCCCKCCTAGGATCCTGGAACACTTCAACACGRGACCCGAAAAGTACAGCGTAGTATTCACGTCGGGCGCCACAGGAGCGCTGAAGACAGTTGCCGAATGTTTCGCGTGGGACGACGAAGACTACGACGACCGACTAAAAGACTCTGTAGTAATGAATGGTGAGATCGCGACCTTTTTTGTAATAAAATTACTTTGATCGGTTAATAAATATGCAGACACATATTTAATCAGATAACGCTCGCAGTTAAATGATTTWAAAAATTTTAAATTTAAAAATTTTCTGTTGGATTTACATTTATATTATGACATTATAGTGAGTTTTTTTGATGGATGATGGATTCGTTCTGTAGTTCATTTTTATATAAAAATATAAAACTATAATTTTCTTACATTAGTCAAAGAGACTATAATTGCCGAAATCGTTAAGCTGAATATCTGCAGTCAATGATTTGATCATTGATAAAACTATTGAACCTCATGTTTAAAACATTCGAGTTTCGATGTCTGCATATCATTTTTTCAACTACTATACCTGCAGAATCAGATTTCAGGTCGCGGGGAAGCACCTTCGCGTATACGGAAGACAATCACACTTCAGTTTTGGGCATGCGAGAGTTGGCTCCGATGGCGAATCTGCTGTGTTTAACTCGAAACGAAGCTCACGAGGCTTTAGATAAGATTCCTTCTACATCTGTAAAAAAAGATAGTTCGGCTAATTCCAGAAATTCTCTGTTCGCTTTCCCCGCTCAATCCAACTTTTCCGGTACGAAATATCCTCTGAAATGGATCGAAACGTGCCAGAAAGGAGCACTTGACCAGTACACCGGTAATCGAGTAAAGTCCAGGTAACAAAATATAACATCATCATAAATATGTGTGGTAATTATTAATTATTACTGTTGGATTTAAGTAGGTACATTAAAAATTAATTGTTTTCAATAATTGTGGCGATTTAGTCGAAGACTAAATTATACAAATGGAAGTGGAATAATGTTAAATATTATTTTTTGTAGAAAAATATTCTTCTATTATTCGTTTAATATATTTGTATATTTTATTAAAACTAAATATACCTATAGTAGGTTATACCTATAGCAAATCCACAACATTTTCAAAAATATATTCTTCATATTGTAGAGAAAGTGCCTACAAKGCCCTAAAATTACTTAATCCGTACATAATACCCAGTCTATAACTATACATAATAGTATAGTTTATTATAAAATCAAATAATCACTTCAAGCAGCCATATTTCAATTAAACATAATATTATTAATATCATAAGTATGTATGTATATCACCTAGCATAACTCATTAACTCTGAACTCATGAGACGTGTTATGTGTACTATGAATTTTAAATTTACCAAATTTCAAAATATAATGTAGTGAAAACTGCAATAGTCATAGGCATAGAGGATTGACGGATTATACTTTATAATTATAAAATCAAGTCGAAAACAATAATGAAATTATATTCGATTATAAACAATCTGCATATAATATTATAATATTTGAAATTGGTATTTTAATTATTTTTACTAAAATTAACTGTAAGATGAATTTATGGATTTTAATTGTTGTCTATACACTCAACACCGTATGAAATTTCAGTCTTTTACTACTCACTAGTTTTTTTTTTATCTGATTATCTATATTTAATAGAATACAGACTTTGGTTTTGACATTATAAGTAACAATATAACATATTACACATGATTTATAAATTTATTATGTTTTATTAATATCGATAATCGCATAATGTATAATAATACTATAAACTTTGTGTAGATGGTTCACTGTTCTGGACGCCTCTTCTTACGTACCCACTAACCATCTAGACTTGGATAAATATTCACCAGACTTTGTCGCTGTTTCGTTTTACAAAATGTTCGGTTATCCAACCGGTCTAGGTGCGCTGTTGGTCCGTAATAAAACAGCCGTGGCGGTACTCCGTCGGAAAAAATATTTTGGTGGCGGAACGGTTGAAGTGGTACTCGCACATAACCGTCATCACGTGTTAAAAAAAGATTTCCATGAAAAGTAAGACCCTATAATGTATTAATAAGGCTAATTTAAAAGTATAATGAGTATATTATGCGTATACCTACCTATTTATGTTACTTAAAAGTTAAAAGGTTATAACTCGACTAATGTTGTTAGTCCATTATTGTTGTGTAGGTGCTTATTGTATAAAATTATGGCAAAATTTATAATATTACATTATTTCTCTACCTTGAGATTAGTTTCTTAGTTTTCTTTTCTTTTTTTTTGTTATATGTTCTGCTTATTACTTACATTATGTAGTATTATAATATTGGTTTTGATATTCATTTTTAATTTCGGCCTAGATAGTACACACACATATATCCTTATCGTGTCCGCCGCTGTAATTCGTTATTACATGGTCTATTTCGCAGTTTTCCTTGCGTCTAGTGTTTGACGATTTAAATATTTCGTTGAATATATAATAATTTAATATTCGTGAAGGGCACGATGAAAAAAAGTTCAAACTAGTTATTTCATTAGCCGCTTCACTAGTTACCTAGTTGATTTAAACWATGCTATTGATGATTTAAGTATTTAAAGTTTTAGTTCTTGGCTGTAAAATTGGCCGGTTAAATTTTTTTACAACTATTAAAAAACTTATGAATGGTTTCACAGGTAATACCTATCTAATAACTAAAACTAATAATTAAATAGTAATATGGAAACACATTCCATTTTCCGGATAGATAGTAACTCATAATGTTCACTTATATGACTGCAGATATCASATTATTATACAAACAATAAAAAAATGCAAATACATTAAATAGGTAATTTTAACTAGTACAGTGCTCATTGAACAAAAACTTATTGTATTCATCGTTTATTAATGGTTTTATTTTAATAACAATATAATTACCTGTGTACATCCCGTATATCTTTGGGTCGTACATTTGTAATCATGTCCCMTCCATCAATTATTATTTTTATTTCATTACTTAATGATAAAACCCATATTATGAGCTACCTACTGTACACATATACTCGCTAAATAATGAGTACACTGTACACGTCTGCTGCAGGTTCGAAGACGGTACGGTGGACTTTTTGTCGGTGATCGCAGTTGGCCACGGACTCGACACATTGCGCACGCTGGCCGGTCCGATGCGACTGGTGGCCGAGCGGACGTTTGGACTGGCCGCGTACCTGTACGGCCGGATGTCTGGGGCGAGGCACGGAAATGGATTACCGGTGTTCCGGACGTACACGGACACGGAGTACCGGTGCGAGAGCACGCAGGGTGGCGTCGTGAACTTCAACGTGCTAAGGGCCAACGGCGATTACGTTGGCTACAACGAGGTCAGTGAAAACATCGCGAAATTTCTGGCAGCTCTGCAAAGCGATGGTCTATCTCATTGTTTTCGTTTTTTATTGCGTGAAAAGGAATCACGGTAAAAAATTAAATCCTCACTCCTCGTTAGAATAATCGAATAAATATTATACTTGGATGTCAATTTAAAGATGATAATTCATTCAGTAACCATGTCTCTATTATGTTTTGGGCAACAGTTAATTTAATTTATTATAATAATGGTAGGTACGTGTCTCATTAAGACAAAATTCTGTCTCCATTAATTATAGTCTATAAATTAAAATTATAATAATTAAAGACAACGATAAGCATATACCATTCACCAGTGACGTGCTCCTTTAAGGTGTGCGTGGGTATACATTTTGGCTGTTCTCATTCTCAGATCCCGTATCATTTAGCAGAAAATATTATACTTTCATTTCTTTATCATATATTTTGAATAATAAAAATAATCCAAAGGGAGGGGATATGAAACCCTCACTCACAACCGTCAACACGCGTAATTACTTACGGCATACTTATATAATATAATATGATCTACCTATTACATTTTTCATGTTATTTCTAATTTTACATTCCTCTACGTAAAGGATATTTATTTTTTTTTAAACAATATATTATGCAAGATGCAACTAATGTATAGTTTATCAAATTATCAACTGTGGTAATTACTGTTCTTACATATTTTAGTAATACACCAAGCATGCAACAAAAGTCACTATTYATTGTGAAAATTGTCATAAGAACTGTAATAAATTAAAAAATATCAGTTATTTTATTATGTTAGTAATATATACAAAGGTGTTCAATATTATGACCTCCTGACAGACATCAATTCGATTGTATAATTACTCATCGCGAAGGCTCTTGAGAATATCAACGGTCACTTCATTAATGCAGCTGTGATCTGGGCAGACAACGAGGTCGTAAATAAAAATTGAAAATGTATTTTTCTTACTTAATATGTTTACAAATATTTTATAATTAACCACAGCTCTGTGTGTACAATTTTACAGTAAATAAAAGTAGTAATTTTAAATCTGGGAAAGACTTTTGTTACACACTGTATAGGTACCTACCWATTAAAATCAATTATCAACAGTGCAGTAATTAAACAGTAAATAAAAATAWAATGCAATGATAAAATTATGTTTACACTCGTGTAGGTATATCAGTATAAAATAGTTTTATTATTACAACTTTATTTTYTAAATCGTATAGGTATTAATATATTATATTTATAAAGGAGGTACCCATATTCAAATAAACTATATTATTTTATTTTTTATACTTAATAGTATTCAAAAATAATCGAACGAAATTGTGTTATTTTGGTTTATTCTTAGTTCAATCCATACATTTTAGATTACGTTTCTACAGACCGAATACAATGTATGTAAACCAAAAAGACCAAAAAGCATTGATGTCGACAAAATGTTTCCAACAAAAATTAAAAACACATTCGAACGGATCGTATTATACTTAAACTTTAACCTAACTTAAAATATTTCATATTTGTGTAATGCTATAGTGACAGCCGATAAGTATATGTAAAATAAATTGTTTGCAAATTAATGATCTTAAAACTGTAATAACACTAAGTTATTTAAATTAGTAAGATTATTAGCTACTGTGTAGTTAAAAAGAATCCCTCTGTATACAGAAATATTTTTCAATCGCTTCACTCCCACTTATTATTACCAGATAAGAATAATAGTGCAGTGTTTTTATACATAACGTGCGTTGTTTGAAATAGGTAGTAACTAATATTATGCGCTCAATACAAAATCCTACATATCAAACGTCTACAAATTGCAGTATTGGTAAGTATAACACAGATTAATCCATAACAAAATTAATTTCACTTGAACTTATAATTTGTTTGGTTTTAGTGACAACACTAAATATTTAATGTATGAACGTATAATAACAGCGTAGGTTTTTATTAATTATAAATTTGTTTTTATTTCAAGTTTATCGTAAACAAAACCATTAGAATTATGTAAATACTATTAAATGTAATTTTATTTGTGTAAGTGTGGTCTTGGTTGAAATATTTATAACAAATTATTTGTTTTTCATTAATCCGTAAAGTTGTTAAATATTTCTCAGTAACAAAGTTTTTTTTAATCAAAACCGTGTTTTTAATTACAACATTCAAATTACCTACTTTAAATCAATAAACCGCAAAATATAYTGTAGTTAATAGTTATGTAGTGTTACTATAACTAAYTWAATATTCGTTCGAGGAGTGAGGACGTTAAGTATTACCTGCCTATTATTTTTTTAACACGTCTAAAAATACAGTTAACAATAATTGAATAGGTAATATAAATTATAGGTATTAACGATAATATGTTTGAATACAATACTTAATCGTTTTATTGTATGGATGGAAAAATAATTCAATAAAAAAATAAAATACACAAAACTGCAAGTGAAACCGAAAATAATATATTAAATAATTCTCCAATTTATATCACATTTATCATTTATTTATTTACTTATTTATTGATTAAATGAGTTCAATTAAGTTAATTAAGTTAATAGGTAATCAATGATATTATATGAATAAATATTTACTGTACTGATATTTTAAGTATTTAGTATAATGTTATTATTAGTAAGCAACCAAGTAAGTACACTGACATGGTTTAAATAGGTAATATTTTAAGATTAAGTCAGCATTGAGTACCTATAAACATTGAAAGTTTTAAATAATAGCGGTTATAATAATTATTACTTAAATCTTTGTAGACCAACAATAAATGCTGATATAAATTTGATTTTTTTTCACCATTATAATTTATTATCTATTTGATTAATTTTAAAGTCATGAAATTTGTTAATTGGAAGTTTTTTGATATTTTTTTAAGGACCGGGACTAATAAGTCTCATTTATCATTTAGAAAGTATACCTTAAAGTCCCTATGGTCTGTTACGGCTCTATTATTTTCTGATATCTAATAATAAAGAAGTACTTATAATAATTAGTTTAAAATTAATCAATTAATTAATTAAAAATATAATGACCATGTAAAATATGGATGTACCTAGTTTATGATTTAAATTAACAACAATATAAGCTTAAATAAATAATAAGTGTTTGATCATATGCAAAATGTATCATGTCTGATTATGTATATTATCGTATTAAAATATTATTTTTTTATTTAATCCAAGGTGTTTACAATATTGCCTGTCTGAAACTYGATAGTGGGATGGGGGTGTAGGAGATTATTTTTTTATACGATACTTGATTCGGCACCCACTCTACGTCTCATAATATTGGTCATATTGTCTAATCAATTCATTATTTTAACAGCGTACCTATATACCTATTCAATTTAATTTAAAAATTATTTAATACTAACAATGTAATCAAAAATGGCCTAGTTGTCGATGTATATTTCAGATCAATAAAAAAAAAAGATTATTTATTTTCGATTGTATATTATTATTCATTAACAATACAATAGATTATAAATACTAAAAAAAAAAAAAACACAAGGCCAACTTATTCCTAGGATGGGGGGACGACCCTATAATGATGCCCACTCACTAAGTCTGTATTGTGTGTCTTGTCATTATAATAAAACATATATTATATCATACAATATATTCAAACCATTGTCGTTTATACGTTTATAGGTAAAAAACGTTGCCAGTAGTCACGGTATAGTTCTGCGAGTAGGTTGTTTTTGCAACCCCGGGGCGTGTCAGTCGCACTTGGGTCACACAGACCAGGAATTGAAACGAAACCAAGAGGTGATGTGAGTATCCAACAACGCGAGTTGATGAAATATAATCACTATCACTGTAGTACAACTATTTCATAAACTATTATCACTACTATCATATTATATTCATTATTATTACAGAGGTCACATTTGCGGCGATCACATCGATCTTATTTACGGACGGCCAACAGGATCAGTTCGTGTCTCATTTGGCTATCAGTCGAGCGAATCGGACGCCGATACACTTTACAACACGCTTGTCGAACAATTTTGGCAGAATAATTCGGTCACACCGGTCGATCGGCAACAGAACACCGTCGAAGAGTAATGGACTACTATTAATATAATAATTGGAATTAATTCGAATACTGTTTGAGTACAGACACATTATTTTAATATTATTCAGAATACCGTGGTATCGTGGTGTTTTAATAATATTCAATCACGGGGGCTGAAGATAATCCGCCCACACGCCCCCCCATAAATTCACAAAATTCGTTTTCTGATTATGCTGCAATTTTGTACCTACAATATTGGGACAAAACCTTTTCTAAATAATTCTTACAATTTAGAACTTTTAAAGCGATAATAAAAATTGAAGACGTGCCCCGGTGGCCAGCCACGAGCGTTCCTCCACCTCCTCATCAAAAACTGCAATACTTAAATAAACGTTCTCCATAACACTTAACTACTTGTGCCAAATATAGCCTATAAATTGTGTGTAATTTTTCGATTTTGTTCGTATCGAACTGCKCAGGTACAATACAATGGATTTGCAAGTGTCGAGGATTTTCGTTTATCCGATCAAGTCTTGCGGAGCGTACGAAACGGAGGAATGGCTATTGGAACCATACGGTTTTCAATACGACCGAAGCTGGGCGGTAGTCAGTTCGACGGGAATGTGTATCACGCAAATGGAAGAGCCGAAACTCTGTCTGGTGCGGCCTTATATCGATTTGCAAAAAGGAACCATGACCCTCGTATACGCCGGTAAATCCGACAGACTTTGATGCAAACGAGTCCGATTGACCGTGTATCCTACGCATGAAATAACTAACTAGCGTAGTAATGTTTAAAATCTACAACACTGTTATTGAATCACAGTTGTTGATCACATTTTGCGTTTTTATTTAATTTTAATTTTTTTTTTTTTTGAACGAATAAATCCATCTGGCACTGTAGCACCTATTGATTATAGTAATATAATAGTCAACGTTATTATTCTTAAGATATTTTATGTAACTTGTAGAGCGGCCTTCTCGGGTTCCGTATATTAATTGAGTGGTTACCACAAAGTTGTACCAAATAGTTGAAAATATTCCAAATTTCCAATACTATTGTTCTATATTATGCAGCTTTTGTAACAACGGGCGTGCGGGAATTTTAACGCAAAAAACTGCATAATCTTGACAGGACACGGCAGCGAATAATGGAATGTTGCCTTAAAATACCCACCGGTCACCCGTGTCGGTATACCCGACATAACCAACGTAATACCTATTTGAATATTTCATATTACAAGACATCACAATTCATAATATAGTAATATGTAACTCCTGAAATATTTACGTTCACAATCGATAGCAACATTTCAAACCTACATTTATCAGTACAAAATGTAAATATGAAATCGTGTTTATTGATGGAATAATCATGTTTTGAAAGAACTTTACCGTTGGTATCGAAATAATTGATTATTGCATGTTCATCGTATTGTAGGAAAAAAAATGTATCTACTTCTATTATTTCAGAAAACAAAGACGAAGTTCCGATGGTAGTTCCACTGGATACGAAACCCAGTGATACTAAGAGGACGGGCAAAATATGTTGGGGTGGATCTTTGGAAGGAATCGACTGTGGCGAGGACGTAGCCGAATGGCTCAGTTGGAACCTCGATCGGCCCGGGTTAAGACTCATTAGGTGCACCGGTCGCAGTATTGCCAAAAAAAGCTATGGTAAACTAATACGTGAGGCAAAATATAATTTTGTCCGAAAGCATTGAACATTCATTAAATAAATGCAAGAAAGCGACCTTGTTTAACGTTGTTGCATTTTAGTTATATTATATCTACAGGGTGATCCACCATATACAAGGACGACCTACCCCTTTGTATAATAACATTTTGTACCACAAAAGGATACTCCTTGAAAAAATCAAAAAAAAATTAAGAATTTTAAAATAATTTTTTGAGTATATTAAATTCCAAAAATCAGAATTTAAAGAAAAATGGGGGCAAGCATGGTTGGTGAATCACCCCGTTGTAGTATCCCAGGTCCCTGTATACTATATAAACAAATAACCTACGACTATTATACTAAACTATATTATTATCCACAGGCCCAAATCCAAAATTAAAATTAGAAGTGGTGGGGGAGGTAATTTTTTCGAAAAGACAAAAAGACAATAGAAAATCAAAAATAATGAAAGTAAATTATTGAAGGAATTGGTAGGTAGCGATAAGTGATTTTAGCCAAWACATACTAACCTTTGTCTATCTACTTGAAATTGGTTGGTCCACTTTTCCCAATTTCATGCCAAACTCCAATAAATTTGGTTTGAATATTTTAAAATTTAGAAATTTTCAAACGTCGAGTATTCGGAATTAAAACCAGAATTCYTAAAATGATAATAAACTGAAACATTAAACAATCGTATAATAATAATAATAATAATAGATAATAAGGCATTGTTTCTGATTAGAACACGTACCATCAGTGCTGCSTTAAGCTATGTTGCGGCACAGGGGCAAATTAAAATATGGCACCCATAATTTTTTGTTTCATGTTGATCTTAAAAAATTTGTCACCCCGGGGCGATTGCCTACTCTTGCCTCCCAACAGTGGCGCCCAACGGACCAACCGTTATACCAGGCGTAGCGACCGCTAACCTTTAAAGATTTTGAGGGGGGTGGGTGTCCATATCTAAGTGGCTGAGTAATTATTAAAGACATTAAGACTCGCTATATAATACATTAGAAATAAGGGGATAAGAATATTTAAATAAAAATATTTAATAACTTTTGATGGGTGGCTGGATATATAGGTAAAACTGATTTTGCTACACTTGAAAAATTTGTATTGGGTGCCACTACTCCCCGTTAAACGCGGCTCTGCCAACTATTAATTTTAATTTTATGGACTTTAGGGAAAATAGATCCAAAAGTATTGGGCGCTAACCAATGCCAATATCTATTGTCCACAACGTCAACGCTCAAGTGGTTACAGCAAGAAATGGCAAACACAATAACGGAAATAGTAAATGCTTAAAATACATTTTGTTAATAATATAATATATGTATATATAATATATACCAAATATAATGTAATATCTTAAATTTGTATAAACATTTCTAATGCACATAACGTCATGTCGCATTATTAGGATGAAGATAGTTTGTTATTTCGATTCCGAGGTAACTTTGTGATTTCTGGCGAAAATCTACCAGCACATGCCGAATTAACTTGGGACCAGTTGGACATTGGAGGCGTCAAATTTCAAGTACCGTGAACAATATTCAATGTATTTCTTTTTACTCGAACTGTTGTATCATAATTGTCGCATTTTTCACAGTTCCATTCGGCTTGTGAAAGGTGCAAGATGGTGAATATCGATCAGGATACATCGGAAAGCATTTACAAACCTCTGTCCGTATTGGCTCAACACAAGTGGCAAGACAAAAGCGTTTTCGGCATCTATATCAATCGTGTAGATACGCAAAAATGTAAATTACGAGTGGGTCAAAAATGCACTGTCATAAGCAAAAAAAATTAAATTTCATGGTTTAATTATTAATTTAATTTATTAATGTATTAATGTTCGATAAGGTAATATAATAGCATTTTTTTTCTTTCAAATTATCAACCATTGTAAATATTATTATTGTTAATATAGTGAAATGATGATTAATTGAAACATGAAAATTGTACTTAATTAAAACAAAATGCTACAATAATGTTTACATTTTTTTTCTTTCAAATCTTCATTTGACCACTCACATTATAAATTTTTTTTTCATAACTTTGTTTAATAATATGGGCAAATGAGCGTTTCATCATAATATCGTTGAGGGACAAGGTAGTTTTTTTTAATGAAAAAAAAATATTTCTAAATATGTATATATATATTACAAAAATGTACAACACTTAAGTATAGCAGATGAAGAAAAATGATAAATGGTAAAACAAAGATTTGTTCTGTATTTTATTGCAACTCAAAATTAAGTGCCTCAATTTTGTCTAGTGTAACTAGTAATTACTAATTAGAAATATCGTTTTATTTTCATTGTGACCCGCGGAACTTTAATATGTAGGCAATGATTAAAAACATTGCTATGCACCTCGCACCAGTGGCGTA